CTGCGGGAGAGGGGCGGGGGGAGAGGGGGGCGGGATGCGCACCCTCGCCCCGCCCCTCCCTCGCCCTCTGCCACAGAGTCGGGCGCCCATCCGCCCACTGCGGGCTCGAGCCCTCCTCCTCCCCGTCCCCGTCCTCCCCGTCGTCGTCCCTGTCCTCCTCCTCGTCCTCCCTGTCCTCCTCCTCGTCCTCCCTCCTCCGCCTCCCCCTGCTCCCCTTGACACTGGCACTGAACGCCAAGTCTATCATCAGTGGATTGGCGCCCTGGGCCCCTGCCCCTGTCCCCTGTCCCCGAGGGGAGGCCCCGGCGCGACAGTGGCGGGCCGCTCGGGTTTGAGGGCGACGTCCCGCCCCTCCTCCCCGATCCTCCCCCCGGGGGCCCTGGAGGCCGTGCGAAGCCTGGGGGGGGAGGGGAGGGGTGGACAGGCAGGGGGCCAGTGGCGACAGGAGGGAGGGCGAGGAGAGAGGGCGGGGTACGAGGGGAGATTCGGGGGGTAGGAAACGAGTGGATGCAGACAGACTGGGCGGGATGGGGCGAGGGATGGGGGGGGACAGGGAGGGTCAGGTGGCGGCGGCGGTGATCCAGGGCCATCTACCGACCGAATTGAAGATGTGGTTGGGTGTTTTGAAACGTCTGGGAAGGCGGGGGGGGGGGCATCCGGGGACCCTGAGGACCTCCTTGGGTAACCGCGTGTGCACCCTGTCCCACCAAGGTCAGATCTCAGAACTCAAACTACCGGGGATCAGTGTTCTAAGGACGTCTGCAGCCAGGTGCACCCCAGCTGGTGTGTCCAATACACGAGCGGCGATTACCCTCAAGGTTGGTGTCCCAAGTGGTCGGGTCGCAGACTCTGGGAGCTCCGAAGGGGGGGGGCAAGGAAAGGGGGGGGCGCGTCATTGCCCCAAGCATGTGCGCAGACGGGGGAGAGGGGGGAGGGAGAAACATATCGAGAAGCCATACGACAAGAATAGTAATGATGCGAATGATAAGAGCGCGTTTCTTTCTGTTCGGCGATGACGGGCGTCATGTGGGGGGGGAGGGCGGGGGGGGTATGACGTGACGCCCCCCCCCGCCGAGTGGCTCCAGCACCACAGCCGCGCCCGCGCGCACGACGCGACGAGCAACGAGCGACGAGCGACGACGACGACGACGCGAGCAGCATGTAAGTGGCGATCTGCCCATTGCGCCTGTGTACAGCACAACGCTCGCGTGCACCACACCGCGCGTGTGCACCACAGCGCCTGCGTACACCGCAACAGCCGTGTGCAATGCACCGCCCGCGTGTACCACAATACTTGGGAGCACTACAGCGCCGGTGTACATACACCGCAGCAGCCATGTGCAACACAACGCCTGTGTACACCACAGTGCTTGCGTGCACCGCCTGTGCACCACAGCATCCGCGTGCAACGCAGCGCTGGTGTACACCACAGCGCCTGCGTGCACAGGACAGGCAGAAGGGGAATGTACGTCAGGATCTGCTGCGGACAACTAAACGCCACGCCAGGAAAGTTCCGAGAATCGAATACGACATTGTTCCTTCCTCCCTCCTCCTCCACCTCCTCCTCCTCCTCCTCCTTTTCCTCCTTTTTACACCCTGTCGTGCGGCTTGGCGTTACAACGCACGTGCACATCTCAGCGTGCACCGCAGAATGGTCGATTGAATCGGTCCACTTGGTTCTCGGACGGCCAGTTTAGCTGGAGCCTCCTGGACGAAGTGGGAGTTAGGGTGATGCTGACGGACTCGGGGGGACTCGTAGATTCCAGCGGCGCTCCTTCGTCCATGAGGATTTGTTTTCCATTGTTTTCTCTGGAATCCACACGCGCTCCATTTTGTCACAAGGATCCCTTCTGAAATTCTATACACAACAATGGTGCTGTGTTGCACACGGTTGATGTGGTGCACACTGGCGCCGTGGCGTACACAGGCACCACAATGCATGCAGGCATTGTGGTGTAAACTGGTGTTGTGTTGCGCACTGCTGATGTGGGGTACGGAGGCGCTGTGGTGTACGCAGGAGCTGCTGTGCCCGCAGGCACGGTGGCACAGACTGACGCTGTGTTGCACGCGGCTGCTGTGGTGTACATCGGCGGTGTGGTGTACACAGGCGCTGCGGTGCACGCGGGCACTGTGATGTACACAGGCGTTGTGGTGCATATCGCCACCTACATGTTCGTGCTACCCGTCCTCCGTCATTCCTAAGCATTCCCAGACGCCGCAAGCGCGAAACGTGACGTCATCGCCCTCCTCCCCCCCCAGATGATTGCCGTCATCGGCCTGGACTAAAAAACAGGCTCCAGCCGCGTCCGCGCGCACGACGACGATGAGCGACGAGCGACGAACCACCAGCGACGACGACGGACGACGACGACGACGACGACGACGACGACGACGACGACGACGACGACGACGACGACGACTCCTGCGGACCAGACGCTTATGCGGATCCCAATGCGTACGGCGGCAGTGCCTGGAGCGCACTGGGGGGGGAGCGTTACGTCATAGGGGGGGGGGGGGAGCGGGGGCCATGACGCCCGTCATGCCCCAAGCAATAAAGAAACGGGCTCTAATGGTGAGCATAAAAGAACGAAACAGACTGACAACGCACATATAACATTTAGAAACGTAGACGGCGAAAACGGAATAGAGGGGGCCGTGACATTTGGGAGACACCATGGGCCCCGACCAAGATATCCACAAACCCCCTAATCATCACCCCCCTTTGCACACCCCAGGCTGGGGCCTCACAGAAACCCCGGTCCGAGGACCTCTGGAGAGCCCTGGGGACATCCTCGGAGGAGCACCCTGCACACCCACACGCACCTCTGGGCACAGCTGCGGCGACGACGGACTCGGCAAGGGGGACGACCCGGAAACCGCTCAGCCGCGCAGCCCTCGCCGTCGCTAAGGAGACCCAGACATGCGTGGGAGATCATACTTCTGCCGCTGTTGAGGCAACGGTCGCCGGCCAGCATCTCACCTGGTTCTGGGTAGTCGAAGCCAATCTGGCAGGCCCAATCTGGCAAACGGGGGCAATCTGGCGAGGGAGCCAACGCGAATCCAGTCTGGCGAATAACCCAAATCATCCAGTTTGGCCGGGCCAGATTGGCCCTAGGGGCCCAATCCAATCTGACAGTCTGGCCTTCGACTACCCAGGTTGAGGCAACGGTCGCCGGCCAGCATCTCACCTGTCTGTGCCCGCACGGGGCCCGCGTCGGGCCGCAGGGCCACGGAGTGGGGATCGAGAGGTGTGGGGGCCCGACTCACGAACAAGAATCGTGACGACGGCTGGTGCCCCCAGGGTGGGGTGGAGAGTTCCTCCTCCTCCTCCTCCTCCTCCTCCTCCTCCTCCTCCCTCCTCCTCCTCCTCCTCCTCCTCCTCCTCCTCCTCCTCCTCCCCCTCCTCCCCCTCCTCCTCCTCCCCCTCCTCCTCCTCCCCCGGGCGACGGAGGGGGCGACAGCCGAGGAGAAGAGGGGTAAGCTAGGTGCGCTCGAGCCATGCCTGATCCCCGACCCCTCCCACCCATCCCCGACCCGATCTTGCCCTCAATCCGCCGACGGGTGCCGCAGCGGACCTAGAACCCCGAAAGGGCCCCCGTCGTATTACGCGCTGTCAGGAAATGGGAGCTGCGTGCATTGCGGGACATTGTGGCGGATAAGTAGGAAGATGATCGGTAGGAAGAGAAGTAGGATGAGGAAGGTGGAGGACGAGGAGAAACAGCAGCAGAAGGAACAACAATGTGATGAACGGAAGTGGAGACGAGCGGTGCGCAAACGACGATGAAGGACACGGTCTATGAAAAAAATGCCCGGCTTGCGGCGATTACGCCATTCTGAACGACGAGAGACAGCGCCGAACCAAACAAAAATGAGGCCCACGCTGCAGTTGACACACCGAAGGCGACCCGTCTGGAATTATAACGAAAAGCGGTGTTTGACATCGTGTGTGCAACAGTCCACGGAGAGGGCAGAATACTTTCAGGATTCAGGACGTTGTCGGGGGAGAGAAGAGAATCTGATTTACATGGGGTGATTGTGAAAAGGCGGAAGGAAGAAAGGCGGGGAGGCGAGAAGACACGGAGAAGAAGACGGAAGGAACGAGCGGGGAATGAGGGAGGACGAAGGGGCGAAGCAGAAGAGAGGCGGGTGGAGGGAGGGGGAGAAAGACAAGAGGAGGGCAAGGAGACTCCTCTGGGGGCGAGGGGGCAGGAGGGGAGCGGAGCGGAGCACGAGAGTAGAGGAATCTCAAACGACGTAGGTACACATAAACTTCCGTAGGTCCGCGCCGAATCGCGAAATTCGCGCGGAGCTCCGACAATTTATGTTCGTACAGCTTGTTGGCATTTGAGGAGCGGGGCGGAGCAAGAGACGAGGATGAGAGAGCGCTTGCCGCCTGGCTGAACAAGGGCTGCGCGTGGGGCGCTTCGTGCGGGGCAAAAGGGCGAGCGCGATGGGCGCTGCATGACAGCCGAGTGGGTTGGGATACAGTCGGCCTTGATTGGACAGGACACGCGAGAGGATACAAGACCCTTCCGAGGGCCACATTGCCATGGGGGATGTAGGAGGTATGGGTCGCGAGGCACAGGACACAAGGACACCTAAGAGTACCCTTGATTTGGCAGGGTCGACCTACTAATCAGGGCCGACTGTAGTAAGAAGAAAGGACGGAGCGGCCAGAGAGAGAACGAGAGAGGAACCGACCAACTGCGGACAGAGTTTGTCTGGCCGACGGGAATGCAGGCGCCCCGCTCGGACCTTTCTCTTGGGGATACCGACGGGTACTAATACCGCCACTCCGCGGACCTCTCCAAGCTGCGTTCTGACCAGAGCAGCCCAAGAGGGCGACGACAGGGCCAGGGCAGCGGTATCGGGTATCGGTACCTTTTCCTCCTCTGGTTCTATGGGCCGGGGGCGCAGCAAATCAAGCAGGAGCCCGCGACGTTCCTGGCGTGTGACCGCAGCGGGGCGCACGACAAACGCCTTGGGGCGCGGCCAGCAAC